GGCCGATCGGATGAGAACAGCCAAAAAAAAACAAAAAAAAAACGGACCGGACCGGACTCACCTTCGGACTCTCATTCAGAGGATGACCGGCTGGCTCACAGCTGGACCGGGTGTCCGGCGGGCTCGCGCGCAGAACCGCGTCCGTGTGGGGAAAGCCCGGAGCCGTGGAGAGTCATTTTTTTTTGTCGATCGGTAAACCAGACTGCGCCTCCCCCCCCCCCTGTATCCCTGCTACGCGCTACTGCTGGTGCTGCTGTGGCCCCCGGGGGGGGTCCGGGTGGGCCAGGGCTCGGTGCCGGTGGCGGGTCGGGCTGCTTGTACCGGGGATCCCGACCAGCGCGAGGGGCGCATAACTGCTGCAGAGGAGCGGGTCGCGCTGCTCGACGCTCGATTACAGAAAAACGATGGGAGGGAGGGAGGGAGGGAGGAGGGGGGAGGATGGGGGGGGGCTGTAGTTGGTGTAGGAGGGAGGGAGGGACTGTTGGTGCGCGACTCGTTTTCTCTGGGCTCAGATTTCACTCCGCTTCTTAAAGAAACAAACACGCGCGCGCGTTTCCACGCGCCGCTCTAATTCACGATCATTCAGAAATAACAAAACATAAAAATACAGGTTTGATTTAGCCTTTTTTTTTAGGGGGGCTCTGACTCATCGGTTTGCGTCCTCCCACCGTCCCAAAACACGCACGTTGGGTTCATTGAAGACTCTAAACCGCCCCCGAGGAGTGAATGTGAGCGTGTGGTTGTTTGTCTCTGTGTGTGGGAAACGATAGATGGGTTTAAGTAATCGGCTAACAAAGCAAACAAAACATTTACGTAAATCTCATTTTATCAGGAGACAGTGCACACTGCATCGATCTGGGCCTAATTCGGTGTGTGTGTGTGTTTGTTTGTGTGTGAGTGGGGGGGTTGAACAATTTCTGTTAGAAGGGAAAGAGGCAGTGTGCACGAGGAAGTTGCAGATTCATACCCAAAAATGAAGAAAACTGCCACACCTGGGGGATTTTTTGGGGTGTTTTGTCTTGTCTCCATGGTTGTCTTGTCATTTCCTGTTTTATTTTGATAGTAACTCTCCTCGTTTCAGGCCACTCGCACTCCCCTGTGTGTGTCATATGCCTGATCACCGATTGTGTTCACCTGGGGTTCCCTTCCCTTCCTGTGTTGGAACAGTCTGCATTCCTCCCTGTCTCCTGCCGTTGTGTTTTTGTCCTTTGACCCATACTGAGCACTTAACCTTGTCTCCAACCCAACCCAAGCCTTGAAACTTTCATTGTTATTCCTCGTCCTAGTGAGTTTATTTTGTACTTTATATCTTTAGGCATCCTCTTTTGAGAGCAAGTGTTGTTTTGATACTTTGTCCTCAGTTTTGATTTACCTCGAAAGAGAGATTGTTATTCGATACTATGTTTATAGCCTTGTCTGCCTCCTTTCTAGAGTGATTATTATTTTGGTACTTTTCTTAGCCTCTGCTTCCACTCAGAGAGTGAGTTCTGACAAAAACTACTAGAACATTAGAACATGAATGATTGATACAGCCTCTAAATAATTTATAAATCAAATATGTTTACAAGCTCTTAAAGAAGGGAAAAAACTAATATATATATATGTATATGTATAAAAAATCACACCCAGAGAAACTAATCAAATTACATAAGAAATATAAAAATGAATCCAATGAGACACTAAACAAGGTCAGGTCAAACAGAATGCCCTCATATCTGTAAAGCCACCCAAATAGAAGAACTGGTAAGAACGGGATCTAAAACTACCACAAGTGAATCAGAAGACGACGGCAAACCACAGGAAGACGTCCTGTTAGCGACACACAACATTCACCAACCCTTCGCCCTGACCTGTTTGTGGTTGTTTTGGGACGACTCGTTTCTGGACGTCTTATCTGCCTGTAAGTCACACGTCGAGGTTATGTCAGACGTCAGCCTCGCCACACGCCGGGTCGTTGTGTTTTTGATAGCACCTCGGGTCAGATTATAAGGCACAAGCATTAACGGGCATAGGAGAGGCTTTCCCGTGCGGGTTTGTGTCGAGAAATGTGCCGTGGCTCAACGCAATAGGGCAACACAACGCCCCAGCCAATGCACAAAATGGGGCCCAAATCTGTGACATCAAGGCTGATTCCCGGGTCCCACTTTGGAAAACCAACTGAGGTATCGTTAATTAATGCCTTCATGGGGAATGGGGAACCTCACACACCTCCCTATCGTTCTCTGTCTGTGACATCCTGTCCGAACACACCGACTCAGGTTCTTCCTCATATTCTGCAGAGATGTTAAATTCATCATCACCATCTTCCGTGAAACTGGGACGAAGACAAACCCGACGGCGGCGGGCTCCTGGAATCCCTGTGTGTGCTTATTGTTTGTTCTGAAACCATGGCAGCAGCTGAGATTGTGTCCCAGGATCCTTGAATTATTTTCCTGCCCTTATCTGGTCTGTCCTACTGACAAGCCTCAGACGGGTTGGAATCCCTCTCCTATTATATCTCAATCAGAATACATGCGTAAAGCACGAGCATCTCTTGATCTTCACCTTTTCAAAGTCCAATTTGATTCCCATCACAAAGACAAATTGACCTTGTATGATGGATGTAACTTTTCCTCATTAAAATGAACCATCACCTATTTCAGATGATCAGCTTGTCCTCAGACTCCTCCTTGTTTGAACGCTTATTCACCCAGGCACAGCTTCTTCCTCTTCTTGTTCTTGTTCTTCTTCTGCACAGGTTCATCTTAAGTCTATGTGGGGGTGTAAAATGAAAAAAGAAAATCAAACAAGTGCTATGATTTTGCTTCTCATCAAACAGGCTGCAAAAATATGCAATCAGACAACAAGGGACCAAGATAAAAACTAAAACTTCAAGGTCTTCCTGCATTTTGAAAACACGGCCGCTCGTCAAGGCCCAAGTCGATCCGGTCCACCACAACACACAACAGAATATGACAAATACCATTCAAAGACACATTCCAATTTCGTTCGCAATTAAAACTTAGTTCACAAATGTAACACAGACGCATGAGTGATTTTACAGCTTTTTTAAATTTGTTTTGCTAACATATATTCATTTACTAGAGCATGGAATTTAGTACAATATAGTGGAGGTTAATTATCTACAGGCTATATGGGGCCTATGTGGGGCACAATTTATCGTGGAGCCAAAATTAAATAGTTAAGACTACTTATCAATTTTGTTAGACGGACACATTTTACACTTCGTCGATACTGTTTTCCAAAGACACGTGCCACGTAAGGAAGCAAAAGGCTAGTCAAGACCGGCAGTGAGAGGGAGAGGAGAAACTGTTACTGACTGAAACAATCGATTGAAACTCCACTGCCATCGGACCAACCGACAGAAGCACGAGCACTGTGGGGAATATATAGGGCCCTGAACTTATAACGTGTTAAGTACTGGTTGAAAACATTGTAATTTTGTAATCTTTGCCGCTGTATATCATTACCAAGCACAACTGTATCGCAATAATAGAGTGCGTGTCAGTCATAATGGTTTTAAATTGCATTTAAATGGTCTTGCTTTACTACCTTTCACTCACGCCATGCATCACGGGTATTTTTACTGGCCAATTAAATGAAGGAATGATGTCGTATGCTCGTGATGCCGCGGTCGCGTGACTTCCGTAGGCCAATAGCCCACGAGAGTTCTGCTGTAAATCGCGAGATACAATAATTATCTTAAGAACGACTTCAGCTGGTTGTGGCTTGCTCTCCCCAACATATGCGTCTCCCTCATGGCATTTCATTGCGCCTTCTCCCGTTAATCGAGTTGTCGGTTCGTCTAGCGTCCCAAAGGTGTTTCAGAAATGGAAACGGGACGCGGAAGTTGCCACTTAGCACCCGTCTTGCTAACGTCATTATCGAACTACAACTCCCACAAACACGCCCTGGAGGGATATTTGTCCCATTGCATGCTCAACCAAGATTATAGGAAGTTCTGGTTTCTTTCAAAATGATATTTTCATTAGTCAAGGACTCATTATAAGATACGGCTGTCCGTTTCCCGGAATAGACCGTGCCGTGCCGTGCCGTGCCTACATGTAACATAACCCTTTGGCACCACCTTGCGGTGCTCTTACTGCAATGACCCAACGAAAGGTTTCATCAAAATGAATACATTTTATCTTTCTTTTAAACGTTTATCTGTCAATGGGTGGTTATTTTTTTAAGCAACGTATCTACCATAAGAAACAGAGTCTAAAAGACTGTAGCACAGACAAGTAAGATATATCATTTATTATTTATATGAAAATACAAAATTAACATACATGCACTGATTGTGACATAAATACAGTCTGATACGCTTAAAAGGTCAATGATGGGAGAAAAAAAAAAGAATACTATAAGATAAAGGAATCTCTGGGAAACGACTAGTAACAGATCCATTAGTTGGTAAAAAGAGGACTTTGTATTTGTGTATATATATACTTTTGATCTTATTGTTACAGAAACAAAAAAGAAATTGACAAAAAAAAAACAAATCATGTACATCAAATCACTTGGATAATTGTTTTGGTCAACAAGATGACAAGAATCAAGGAGGAGATGTCAGAAATGCAGTGAACCATTACATAACAAGTAACATCGTAGACTTTAACATAAGATGGAGAATCATATATAAATACAAGCAGCTTTAGAAATTGTAGTGGAATCGTAATTTGAAGCAACATGTCTGTTTTGTGTAACACAACTATTTACCGTGCCGCACAACAAACAGTCACCAGACAATGAAATGTACCAATTTTGGACTCCTTGTCCAAAAGATGAACAAATAAAACATTCTAAATGGCTAAAAATCGTCCAAGTCCATATGCAGTTTAGCTAATAGTGGATCTTAGCTGGCATTAAATATCTAAAAATGTTGTACATCTTTAAATAAAAATGTATGCCTCTCATGCTCCATCAAAAAATAAAAAAAGGAAAAAGTCTTATTTTTCTTTGCTTTTGTAAATTCAGCACTCGTCATTTTTTAAAAGACAGCAAAATAGTCAGTAACTAACACCCATCCATCCAGGTGTGTGATAACACTGCTGTTTAAAAAGTCTATGGAAAGGGTGTGTCTTGATATATTACATAACTCTAGCACCTTGGAGCTATATCATGAGCACACACTTATCAGGCATGTGCGTGGGGCATGCAGGCACTTTTATATCTAACACGGCGACGTGATAAGACGCACCACGCATGCAGCGTGGACCTGAGAATGCCACAGTAACGATACACAAAGTTAAACTGTGATTACAAAAAAATAAGGAAAATAGATCCAGAATTGCTTAACAACCTAAATCAATCATAGCGTTTGTTTAATCCATGAAAAACACTCAAAAATTGATTAAACGTGAGTTTTTACACAAAAAAATAAAAGTCTGGTTGTGTTTGCAGAACTCTAACTTGAACGCGGATCCGTAATGCTTAAGTAAAAATCTGAGGCACTCCTGGATTTATTTCTAAGGCAGTGTCCCGGCACCTCGCATCTCCGATCTCCTTCATTTGATTATTGCTGTTAGAATAAGCTAAAAATTGTATATGAACAGAAAGAATTTTCATCCCGTGCGTCCACACTACCACATAAACGCTCCATACGAATGTAAACCAGCCATCTTTCAGTTGATGTTGACGTTGTGTTGATGGTTTATCTCAACAACACAGGGTCAAAATTCTATCCACGCGGGTTATTTGAGAGGCAGACACATAGCTCTCATATGGAGAGAGCGCATGGGCTGGAGGTTTTGTCGTCACTTGTCACTACACCATGAACTGGGTGTATCCTTCGGCCCCCGTGACGATCACATCCATCCAGATCCTCATCGCCTCCGGAGAGGGAGCGACCATGTAGTAGACTCTGTCGTGAGTCTTCACGCTGAAGGTGAGGGAGGGGTTCGGACTCTGAAGGGGACAGACGGAGAAGGAGGTCACGATGCGAGATCAAAGAGAGGAAATGGAGAAAAAAAGTGGGGGGTGGGGACGGGCATAAGGAATGACGATGGGTAAAAGAGGAATTTACAAGCAAGGAGACTGACATGGACTAAAAAAAAAAAGCACCGTACCTTATGTGCGTTCTTCAAGTGGTCGTAATACACTTCTTCTATAGCTTGGAAATAGATCACTCCTTTTAACTTGGCCTCGTGCTTGTCTGCAGAGGAGATACAACGGTCAGACACGGCGGCTGGACCCCGACACGCCCTCGTCGGCCCCGGCCTCCGGCCCCACCTGCGTAGTAGGAGAGCGTGCGCCGGTTGCGGTCGAAGACGAACCAGCGCTTCTTCCAGGTTTTGATCTTGCCGCCCATCTTGATCAGGTAGCCCCGGCAGGTCTTGTCCGAGATGGACAGGTGGAAGCACGTGTCCGTGCTGTGGCCCGCCGACTCGATGTGGGCCCGCAGGTCGAAGTCGTCCTTTCTCACCGGCAGGTACCGGGTCAGCGGGCGGGACTGGAGGGAGAGAAAAAGGTTTGTGAGGGATGAAATATGGTCAGTGAACCAGAGGCTTTCGCTTCTTTTTAAAATCACGAGTCTGTATTTGGGAAAAAACGTGTTGGCTAAAGGCACCGGCTCTGTTCTGCCTGCTGGACTGGAAAACAGTCTCACACTTTGCTTTGATTTCTCACCTGCGCCCTTTGCTTTTCCCTCATCTTCACCTCACGGTCGATGAGCTTCTGGCGTCTGCTCGTCTCCTCCTGTAACCTTTTCTCTAAATCCTCCCTCCGTCTCCGCTCCTCATCCAGGGCTTGCATTCGGATTTCCACTTCTCGATCCTAGAGAAAAAAACGCGGACGATTGCAAAGCTTTAGAGCACTTGAAACTGGTCAAACTGAGCAGTGTCCTGGGAATGTAGGGGTTCTCTAGCTTTACATCGTATCTCTTATAGTTGGAGCTGCTGTTGGGGACTGTTACAGAGGTGAAAATCAACAGGTGAACAATGGACCTTGTATTCCAGGAGGCGGCTCTTCTCGGCCTGTGCCTCTTTCAGCAGGCGCTCCATCTCCTCCAGCTTGGCCATGTTTGATGTGCTGGCACTGCCATCAGAAAGAAAAAGGGAATTAAAAAAAAACTCAATGTACAGTGTTCCGAGCAACTAATGTGCTGCTTCAAATCTATCGAACCTGCTCCCACGACAAAAACGACAGCTTGAAACAATTGAAACCCTTTTCCGGATGTTTGTTTTTTCTTCCTTTTTCCATCAATGAACAAATAAGACTTTTGACATTAGCGTAATCCAGAGTTAAAGCTGTGTGATTGTCCTGCTCACGCTCACACACACACACCCACACACAGACAAGAGCTGTGGCTAAAAATGGAATTCTCGTTCAGCATTCAAACCCGAGAACCAGCCTCTCTGGGGAACGCTCCTGATTATTCCCTGTTTATGCATGTGTGGATCTGCGCGTGTGCCAAATCGCAGAGGAAATCCATCTGCCGAGGAGGCCAGGATGTTAAGGCAATTTTGGGATTGGACCGTCTCAACTCTCCTGCTGTCTCTGACAGATAGCTTTAGGAAAAGCCATGCCGTATCCACAGACATCAGAGGGAAGGGATTTGCCTTTATGTTTCTCTGCATGAGGCTTTGTCACCTTAAACAACAACTATTTCAGTCTCTCTGTTTTTATCCCTAAATTCTGCTCTCTTATCCCCAAGAACACACACACACGCAATTGTGCTTACATTTCTTCTGACTAAACTACTGTCATTATCATTATTTTTAAAGAAACAGAGCAAACTTGTCTGTGTCCCCGTAACATGTGCAAACCAGAAACACACACACACACACACACACCTCTCTTATTTAGAGCAGGAGGAAAAGCATACCCATGTGTTGATGTGTGATGATGTCATAACTTTAAGAGGGATGGTACACATTATTCTGAAGTATAAACAAATCAGGCAGACGGGGAGAAAAAGCGGAAACAGAAAAAAGGGACTGGATGGCAGGATATGAAAGATGAGAACAAACAGAAGCTTCTACAGAAAAAAAAAAGATTTTTCCCGCTCTTTGTTCTTTTTTCTTTCCTTTTTTTTGTTTTTCCCTTTGGAAAGCAATTCCATGTCAAATGAACTCCAGACTTCTCAGAAATTACTCTGCTGCAGACGTCTCAAAGCCACGCTGTCCATGCCTGCAGAAGTTTATGGTTTTTAACTGGAATTATATAAAGCAAGTGAAGTTCTCCACACAGCCCAGAGCACACACAACAGCAGGACTACAGGACATCAGTGGCTTTGAACTTAGCGTTTCAAGCACATGATTTAAACAATTGATCCTTTTGTGTGGAAAAAGACCATCAAAGGGATTTATGAAATAATCAAGTTCCACAATAATTCAATTTCCACAGGTTTAAAAAACATGCACTTTTTCATTTGTTTGTCCAAATCTTGTCATTTTCTTACCTCAATCGATGACAGTGAATGGCACTCATAGTCATTATGCATAACCTCAGGTCAAGTTCAAGCTTTTCAAAAGTTTAAATCATTCAGGAACATTTTCACTTTTCTTTCTGCACGTATTTCACTGGCAAAATGACTACCCCCCTACTCTGTATCACAAATCCATCCTTCAGTCTGTCGTCGGTCCACATTCCACAACGTGCCTTCCAGTCCAGGATGAGCTCAAAAGCAGTCCCACTAAAGCCCAGCTCAGTCTCAAAGGTCCCAGCTCAGATAGATCATTCTGCATGCAATTTCAAATCTGCTGAAACGAGACCATTCTACTCGGTGAAGCAAGACGAGGGGGGAAAAAGATTGATTCAAGAGCTGCACGGAGAGAGAGAGAGAGAGAGAGAGAGAGAGAGAGCAAGAGCGAGCGAGCACACATGGTTTCAGTACAGATGGGGGGGGACTGGACCCCCATCTGTACCTCCACGCATGCTGGTTCGTTCAGCTCTGAACCTGAGGGGGTTGACTGTTAACATCAACACACACATGTGCTCACAGACGCACACCTTCATGTTTTCCGCCTTCCGTAACCTGATCCCCGGAGCACTAATCAAGAGTCCCCCTTAACTCCTATAACTCGCACTGCTCCAAAGCTCCTGTTCCCCAAGAGGGCACATGAAAGACGGGAACGTTTTCCACACACTTTTTTTTACATTTACTGACCTTCCCGCCCCCCCCCCTCCCATCACACTATGAACATAAAAAGTGGCATCCCTCAGTTTGTATTTTCTGCCTTGTCAATTTTGTCCGACACCTTTCTTTCAGCTGTCAGAGTACGCTGCAAAAACACACACTAATGACACCGTCAAACGTCTGTTCCTGCCGTTTCTGTCGTACCTGGAGACGTTGTCCGGTGAGCAGGCGGATATGCTGGTTTCGATGGAGTCGCTGCTATCCACGCTCAGGGTGTCAAAAGCCTGGTTGTCACGGTACCCGAAGGTGTCGAGGTAGACATTAGTCTGGGAGGCTGCCCGGGAGCCCTGCTGATCTAAAGACGCACAAACAGGGAAAGAAAAGGAATAGAAGTTGAGAAAATCACTTCTTCTTCTGAGGCCTGTGGGCCCCCACGCGGTGTTACCTGTTTCCGGCTCTCCATCTGGGACAGTTTGCCCAGAAGGCTTTGAATTCTGAACACAAAGGGCCGCCACTTTGACGCTTTTTTTTCCTTTGTCCAAGGGAAAAAGATACTTCGAAAAACTTAAAGGCTAAATTATTTCAGAACTAATTGCTCCTAAATGCAAAAACTAAATGCAAGAAAAGCAGGTGGAAATTGAAAATATGAAATTAAAAATCTTAAAATGATCCCGAAGCTCTTCTAAGATGTCCGGAGACGGGGGAAAAAATAAACACGGTCAGAAGAATGATGACAAAATGACTGAGTAGATACTTTGAACAGAGACTAAGTCAGCCCCTGGGTACAGGAAGAGGCACATCACAAAAAAAAACTGATACCATCAGGAGGCCCACCCATCTGATGAGCTAAATCAAATAACCAGAGAGACTGAGGGACCACAAACATTCCAGTTCCCAGAAAAAAACACAGTACCTTAATGCTCTAATGAAGACAAGACATCTAAAATAAGCTTAGAAATTGTGGCCATGAATTGATATTTCGGGGTCTTCTATTAGTATTTCACAAGATGGCAAAATGCAAATGTAGGGTAAAGAAAAAAAACACTCTAAATGCATACTCACAAAACCATTCAAATATGGGCTTACTTATCTCAAGGAAGCATTTGCCGTTTCTAGTAAAGATGTGTTCCAATTGCTTACCAAAAAGCCATTAGTTGCTAATTTGATGCCACAAAATACTACTTTGAGGGTACAAAATATCAATTTGTGGCAAGGAAATACAAGGTCAGATCAGGGGCTCCCTGTTAGTGTACAAATCATGGACAAAAAAGGCAATGTTTCAGCATCATATGGAAGGGAAACTAAAACTATTTTTGAGAGATCAACAGCCATCAGCTCTGTAACTACTTTCTGACACGTGGAGATCTAAAAACACTGACATGGAAGGGCATTTTAAACTGGAGTTTTAAAAAAAGAAACTCAACCAGACCCAGGACTCCTGAATTCCTGCATTATCTTATCTGGAAGATAAACGGATGTGTAAAAAAGGGCAGTTTCCCAAAACACAGTAAAGTGAACACCCACAATCCAGACCTCTAACAGGGCCTCCATCTCCATACAATAATAATACAAATAACTATGTGACTTCTCCTGCCAAAAGAACATTTCAGAGCTGTAGGGCACATGTGACATAAATCATTTTTCGGGGCGTATATGGTTTAACAGTAAGTTTGCGATCGTGTACCTTTGTGAAGACGCCGGGATTCACTTTCCTTACTGGACAGGGAGAGAATTCTCGGAAGGATGCTGCCACAGCTTGTGCTCTGTACCAGAGGCTGGTGGCACTAACGAGTACAAGAAAAAAAAAAAAAAAGCTTTTTTCTTTTACTTTCGAAGTGTACGAGATTGAGCAGGCATTCATGTCCACAGCCGTGTACCTTGGAGGGGAAGCTTCGTCCGAGCGTGGCGAACGAGAACTGGGGGTTCAGGGAGGGGGGGGTTTTCTTCCGGGGTAAAGTGTCGCTCAGATGTGAGCCGCCATCTTTCTCTGACCTTCTCCTTTCCTCAAGCAATCGGAAATGCTAAAAAAAAAAAAACACGCAGACATAGACCAGATTTGCACCTTTATCAGTTCTTTATAACGAGTGTGTACAATCAATTTTGTGTGGCCTCCTGGGGTCTCACTGTATTCAAGGTATGAATGACCCCAGGACAGCACACAAGTGTTAAATGATGTATTATCACTCTCCTTTGAGGAGAAGCTTATATTTTACTGCCATCTGGGGGAAGGAACTGTGTATTGCACTTTAATTCAAGCACTTCGCCTCACTCGTATAAACCGATATACTTTTAACGGGTGTACGATAAACAACAGTGAATGGAATTATCATAGAGCGGTCAATATAAATGAAAACAGCAGTGTCAGAATAAAGTGTCAGTTGGACTTTATTCTAAATAATGTCTTTGCCATGTAAGAACCAGCAGTTTTGGACATATACACACAACCGCATTACCTGCCTGTGTCGCTGATGATGGTTTTTGACAGGAAGGGGGGGTGGAGGAGAGTCAGGAAGAGGGGAAGGGTCTCGATATGTCACCATGATCTCTGGCCAGTGCACAGAGGGAGTTTTAGGGAGGGGGCGAGCGTTAATATGAGAAGTAGAAGAAGAAGAGGAAGAGGAGGAGGAGGAGTGACAGTCGGCTTGTGGAGAGGAATGACAGAGCTTTGAAAGAAGAAAGAACAGTAATCAGACAACCTGAAATCGAGCAAAAGACTGTGGAGGGGAAAGAAAAAGAGACACTTCATCATCGGCCTGTGTTCTAAAGCACACGAGAAAATACCCGCGGCACCTCGGCACACACCTCATCCGCCGTGGGCTTCGAGGTGTCGTCTTCGGGGGAAAGGTTTACCCCCGCCTTGGGAGAAGCTTTGCCCAGAGGGGGGGCAGAGGCGGGTTTAGGGTTCTGCCCAAGCTGTGAGTAAAGCTCATTGATTTCACTGACTGTGACATAGCCCTGCGGGGTATCGGGAGGAGAGATGGGGGAAAAAGAAAGGGTGAGGCATAGCACGCAGTGAGTCAGCTGTATTAAGATGTGCCAAACGTAACAATTAGTTGTTAGAATGCTGCGGAATGTGGTGGCAACAGGTTACTTAACTCTGTTAAGATACACTTGACAATAGACTTTCAAGATTAAGTCGGCATTAACGCACAGCATGGGAGTGTAAGTATCCACTCAAACTATTGTTATGTCTCTTTCAGTGACAAAAAGAAAACAAAAGATGCAAGCAGAGAAAAGGTGAGGGAATTGTTTTTTTTTATAAACTTGAAAAGTTTAATGAGAACAACACAGAGGCACTTGACTAACAAGACGATAGTACCTCGGCGTTCCTGAGAAAAATAGAGGGAAGGAGGGACTGACACACATCAGCTAAAAAGGCTGTGTCCTAGCAAACAGAGAAGGAAATCCAAATGATTTGGTCTCAGTGATTTCCCCAACTTAAATCTAAAGGAGTTCAATGCGGGGGACCTGTTCCCACCCAGTGTGTGAGCGGCTGGTCAGGCCTACCTCCCTTAAGGTGAAACTTCGGCCGCCGGTGAGGTCGGAGTATTTTCGTTCCAGTGAGGCAAGGCTTTCCTTCTCCTATCGCACAGAGAAGGACACAACCCAAACAAAAACATCTAAATTGAACTGACATTCTCATTTTGCCTTAACAAAACGACTGAGGTGGCCGTCTTTACCCTTTGCAGCATTGATTCGAGGTTGCTTTTCTCCTTCAAAAAGCTCTCCTTCTCCCGCTGAGCCTGCTGGGTAATTTGCGCTGCCTGCTTCTTCAGCGTCAACAGCCGCTCCTGTGGGATGAGTTAAAGAAGCCAATGCTGTTTACCTAAAACAGTTCAGGTGAAGCGGAGTGGATCCGCTCCGCGCATTCTCCGGGAACATAAAAAAAGAGAGAGTTGCTACTTTGCGAGTGACGGTGCTGCGCTGGTAGTCTGCGATCTCCCTGAGGAGCTGCTGCGTATGGGTTTCCTTGTCCTCGTCCTGTCTGCTCTCCCTCTCGAGCTGCTGGAACTCCAGGTCCTCGAAACGCTTTGTCTCTGTCTCAAGCATCTCACAGTCCTAATAAACACAGTGGGGATGATAAGCATGCCAAAATGAAGAAAAAAAACACCTCCAAGGCAAAAAACAAACTCACTCCTATAGTAATTACAGTAAAGAAAACAAGAAAATTAAGTGGGCTTGGATATTTTCATAGAAAATAAAGAAAAATTGCATATTTTAGAACATGTATTCATTTTTGCAAAAACATGGCCCAAAACATTATTATATTTCACTTACAAAAAATGACCCACTAATAAATGACCAACAATTTCCCTCTATAATTGCAAGTATAAGCCATAAATGATAGTTGAACAAGCTGTCGTGGTCCAAAGCAAGACCAAACCGGGACGTCACCACCACTATGTTTAAAAAAAGAAGATTAGGCACTGTGTTTCATTTTGCCTTGGTCACAGGTGTCCAGGAAACTTTTCCATCTTTTATTTTTCCTTCTCCCTACAATCTTTGATAATATGCAGATTGGTAGCATCATTCTTATTAGACAGCCAACATGCACACTATAGTTGTTCAGTATCTTATAAATTGCAGCTTAGACAGCTGTAAATAGCAAGTTGTAGATCAGTTCTACACCAGGCATTCTGAACTGAGAAAGTAGGAGAAGATAGGACGTACATGCTCTACAACTAATCAGCATGCACCGGTCAAGAAGTGTATTTGTCAATACAGTTGAGCTTCACACTGTATGCTCGAGCATTTATTTATATTTCATAGGTCATTTCATCATCGTTATGTTCAACAATCAGACATCTCCTGTTATCCACTTCCATCCACCCATCCATTATCTTAGGCGGGAGCCTATCCCAGCCAACAATGGGCGAGTGTTATCCAATTCCACTTAACATGATCAATGTGTGTAAAGGTATGACGTGAAGGTTCATGTCAGTGCAGAAATCTAAAACAAATCCCAAATATACCCAACCATGCAGTTATTTTACAAACTCAAAAGCAAGCTAGTCATCACCAGAAGAGGACAACTCTGGTTTTTCCTGAAGACTGCCAGTCATGCAGACACCATTGCAGAAACACTGTCCGGTTTAACATGCAGGATGTCACAAAGTGTACGCATTTGCTCAAAAATTGGCAACTCTTTCAAAGAACACAATCTTGAGCGTAAACCACAGAAGGGGAGACCTTTGACCCCGCGTCCAAATCGTACAATCTAACATGTAAGACACTTTGTACTCCAAACACAGGGTAGCTAATCTGATGAAAGATTGCTATGAGTCACCATAGAAACATGAATAGTTAGTTACAAACAGAGAGTGGCTGTGAGGGAGTTGGGATTGGTGTTAGCTAAGAAAATGTGTGCATGTTTACATGCAAGTGTGCAAGCACTGTGCTCCTATTTTCTGATGAGAACACCTCTGGGAGCACTTTCCAACATTTACAGTGTTTACATGATGCTTAGATTTAACAGTAAGGGTGAAAATTGTATTGTAAGCTATTTTATTTTCCTTACAAAGGCTTTTGAATATATTTCCCTTTGAGTATATGCGTACTATGAGTTTATGACGTATAGTTCTTAAAGTATCTAACTTTGTTTTAGTAACATCTATTAGTTAGAATAAGATGGTGCTTATCAAATTATGCTAACACAATTAACATGTTATCAAAGTGAAATTGATGAAAATCATTATTCAATTACTTGATAATTCGATAACACCTTTTCATACACTTTTTTCTCACTGTGTGAGCTAAAATCTTTTTCTGAAACTTTTTTTACACGACATCTGAGAGGGTGTTTTGGATAGCCATGCCATCTGATGTCCAGAGAGAATATTCACTTTTTCTCGAGAGAGGTAGAAACCTCAGTCCTCACTTTCCGTGTCTTTTAACCTGGTACTCATTTTGTAGTAAGTGCAGGCATGTGTATGTGTGTGTGTGTGTGTGTGTGTGTGTGTGTGTGTGTGTGTACTGACCCTGGCTAGCTGCTCCTGCAGGGGCTCCTTGGTGGCTTCAGGGCAACTGTCCAGCTGGGAGCGCTGCTCACACACAATCTGAGCCAACCTCTCTACTCTGCCCCTTTCTGCCTGCAGCAGCTCACATGCCTGGCACACGCACGTGTACATACACATGGACGTACGCACATTCGACACAACGTATGCCATGTACACGTTTGTTTACGTGTACATATAAGTACAAGGACAGGCGCACACACACACACGGGAAAGAGAGAGGATGGCTGAGTTAGTGGGGACTGCGGGAGCCACAGTTAGTTTACAGCAACCAGGTCAGTCTAGAGGGGGGGGGGGTAGGAGTAAGCTGGAGAACAAAACTATGGAAGAACAACGGAGAGCTGGTTATCGGCATTGAGGAAGGGTTTATGGAGGTGGTATGAGTCATCCAACAGAGGGTTTTGTGTCCGGCTTTTTTTCGAGTTTGTTTGAATGGGAAGGATTAAAAGAATGGATGGGAAGGGAGACAGGGACATATGGAATGGCTCAGCATAGGATAAACTAGCATATTAATGGTCCTTTCTAAGTACACAACACACACAGGCACCCAAAATGTTTGCAAACACTCAACCCCATCTACTTTTGAACTTCGTGTTTAATTCTCAGGGTTAAAGTCAAATGTCCGACCTGCCTTTCCCTTTATTTGGTCTTTTAGTCTCACTCTTCCGTTATGTCTTTCCTGCTGTTGAACCGACATTTCGGAGTTGGGGCATGAATAAATCCAATGAAAGGTAAACTGAATCATAAACGTAAACACACACACACGCACGCACGCATTCATTAGAAACTCCATCTGTTTATCTACTTATGCCTTCCCACCCTCTCGGTTTTACCATATGGTGGTACAAATGTAGAGGGGAGACACACACACACTTGTATTTGCATACATTGGTGGGCTTTCTTGGAGCAGTGTGTGCCAGATAGGATCACTGGGTGACTGGTGCGCCTTGGACAGTATTAGCAGATATATATTTGGACCACAGAGAGCAAGAGAAGGATTAACACCTACCAGTCAGTCACATGACCCACGCATGTATGACATTATTTGAGCTGCCTATACACTTCCAGTACCACACACTATAGAATCCAGTGCTGATAAAAACCTGAAGGTAGTGTTGAAAGTTTATACCCTGTCATACCAGGTTTTAAACATCTGAATAGCTCCTCATGTGACTCACCATCATATCATCAGAGAAGATGTGTAATCAGTCACTTTATACCATGGATCACCACTTTCTATATCTCTATCTTTATGTACACCCAACCCCATTGAATTAAGAGTCCGCTGTTAAATACCTTTTCTTTTTCCTGTTGGGATTTGGTTTCGAGGTCCTCCATTTTGTTGTGAAGAGCTTCCAAAGCATCCTTTTCCCGCTGGAGAGCAGCTACCTCTGACTCCTGCTCTGCCTCAACCAGAGCACGCTCAACCTCCACCTTTAAGGAAATCATGCTTTTTTTTCCATTTTACATTGAAACAAGAGGGCCTCTGCTTTCTTTCTTCAAAATTAAAATGGGAAATATTTGACCTAGACCAAGCTTTTACTGAATTTAGAGTTAGAAGAAAAAGTCTCTGAATCCTTTTAAGATGGATTTTTTTTCCATCCAGGCCACCCCGTTGCTTTACCTCTCTTGCAGATTCCTCGATTTGGTTGTCCAGCTCTTTAATTTTTTGCTCCAGCTCTTCCATGTTGTTCAGCACCTGAATCCTCTCCTCCTCTACGCGCCTCACTTCCTCCTCCGACGCCATCGAGTCATGCCCTCGGCAGCGGACATCTTCCAGGGCCTGGTAAAAATCACACAAATAGACGTTGATGTAATCGTTTCAAAGATGCTACATAAGGGGCAAGTTCACAGGATGCAGCACTAGCAACTGTTCAAAATCGAAACATCTCAAATTAAATTATGAGGGTAATCCAGACAGACACAAGCATGGAGAAGCCCTGATGTTCAAGCGCCAGCTGTCAATTATAAATGGTGACACTTAGCTTGCTCTAATCTAATAAAGGAGCTGTAAATATCTTCCATCTGTGCCTATGAGGGATCGATATCAATACTTTCCGAGTGTTAAGATGAGCGATCCTTGTTGCTCTCATGTTTTCCAGGGAGAACAGGAGGCATAAACACGTACCACATTAATCCTGATAGATTTACTAAGAAGCCAAGCCAAGCCAAAGGTGCTACTTTAGCCCTCTTGGAACACTCTTTATCTTAAAGATGATAAGACATCCATCATTTTCTTATCTTTTATGGGACTGATGATAGACAATGATCTCTTTGGGTCAGTCTTTGAGTGAGCGCACGGCATGATCATGAAGCACATGATTATGAAGCACAGCATGATCCTAAATTGAGTCATGCCCATAATAATCAATAAAGGATGCTCACATCTGGTGTAAATAAACAGAAATCAACTCAAAGTGCACGTGTGATGCAAATTTATGCTTGTGAGATGTTTAAGGACATGTAGGGTGGCCTCGTTTGAATTACCTCATTTGTCCGCTGCAAGCGTGGAGACGGCGAGGGGGCAAAGCCCCGCAGGCTGACCGCGGGCGACTCGGCCCTGTAGTCTCTGTGACCGCTGCTGCGTCTCTGTCTAGCCTGTAGATCATCATCGTAGTAGCCGTTCTCTGATCCAGGGGAGGTCAAGTGACCGTTCCCTGTTGTCCCATTGACAGCCGACGAGTCTGAAAACACAGACGGCGCGTCGTCGTCGTCCTCGTCGTTCAGCTGGAGCTTCTCGAGCTCCTGGTTGATCTTCTGAAGGTCTGCGACAGCTGAGGTGGAGCTCTGAGCCGGTCCACCTCCGTCCCTTCCACTGCGTCCCAGCTCGGAGCAAAGAGATAAGATGGTTTCTAGCCGCTGCCTCTCCTGAGATGACAGACAGACACGGATTTGTATGAATCATAGTAGGTGCACGCACAGCTCAAGTCAAATTGGCTCTTACTAGCGCTGTGATGTTGTGACCCAAGACTAGATTATCTGACACCAGTGGACGTATAAACAGAAGCTGCCACCGCTCCAGAGACAATGCACAAAGCCAGATTTAAACACACACACTGCACAATCAACAAGATCTCTGCCACTTTAATATACATTACCTGGGGAAGCATTGGAGAAGTCAGCAATTCCTATAAATCCAGAGGGATTTACTGATACTGTTATCAGTACGACCTCTTTTAAAAAACTTAGCATATAAGTTTTACAACCTCTCGGAATAATATAATATTCACCCTAACCGAATCCCTAAAGCAAAAGTTCCCTTCCGCAGGTTTGGCTGTCGGAGAACAGCTATATGTGGAGAGTTACGGAAGCTGGGGAGCCAAAATGACCCCCCCCCCCCCGTCAGTGGAACATCTCTAGAGCAGGAAGCATATGAGCCGCCCTGCAAGCCTGTGGAAGTAATATTAGAAACACACAGAGGGGGGAAAAGGAATTGGCCTGTGTGTGTGAGAGAGAGAGAGTGTCGGCGAGAGCTAATGAGAAGAAGGACAGCTGTCAACTACAATCGGAAGTCTTCATGGGAAACGAGTCACGGCTCCAAACACAGTAACCTGTGTCTGTCAAGCCGCTGAGGGAAACAAGACACTTTCCAGGGAACTGCGCTCCACGATGGAATCTGAGCCGAGAGAGTGAAGACAGTCATCTGCCACTTTAGAGAGACCACGAGAGCGACATCCAGCGTAGCGAAAAGCCACACAATGCAACGCTTGTAGAGTTTAACGTTGGACCGATTATGTTGTGAAGTGTGAATGCTGCCTGACAAAAAGCCCCTCCCATCCAACCCTATTTATAATAGCGTGATGTGTAGCTGGGGCAGATAAAAGAAAGCAAGCCTGTGTCACGTTTGTCACCTTGTTTGGTTCTAAGGGACAAGCCTCTGTGGAGCTCCAACAAGATTGTCAGTCAGCTAAAGAGAAGGAGAAATTGAAAGAAATCGTACAATGAAAGGATATGAGCAGAAGTGGGCAGAGTGGGGAAAATCTGCTCCTCATTAAAAACTGAACCTCCACAAGCAGCTGTTGTGGTATAAATGTCATGATGGATAGTTGTGTATGTGTACTAGTTGTGAAAATATAACCTGATTGCTACTCATTTTGGATGGGTGCGGTTTTACAAACTACCACTAGAGGGCGGACAGCGATGAGACAGCCACACATGGTTTCACCACACAGGTTATTTGACCCCCCCTGAAATGTTGCAAATGGTCTGCTTAGCAAGCAGAGGCCAGGTGTGGCCAGAGGGCTTAGAGCTGGCCCTCATTCAACAGCTCACAGTCTGTTTTCCAGAACTCGCCAAACTTTGCACCTTTGCTCGAACAGGAACAATTTCTCAGAGATAGTGACGAATCCCAGCCGGGACAAGTGTGGGATTCTGATTCCACTTATTACACGTTGCGTATTTGTGTGTTTATCCACCTGTTACGGTATAACTCTGTAATCTCGGTTTCTCTGACCCAACGCTGACTGATGTGTTCTGAGGCTTCTCAGTGGTACAAACCACACTGGGTGGACCTCCAGATGACTGACATCAAAATGCACCCCAGACACACACACACACAGACACACACACACACACACACACACACACACACACACACACACACACA